ATTTCGGTCATCCATTGATTTTTAGGATTTTAAGTTTTAGAATCAGTAGTTTAGACAATTCCAAGTGCTTGTTGAAGTTATCACCATCTGAGAAAGCTCCTGTGTTCATTTGTTGGTTAGTATGCTGCATTAAGCGTGCACTAGTCTGACACATGCCCAGTTGTTCTTTGGACATTGGTATGGTGGGTATGATTTTGGATCAACCAATAATAGCTTGGTATAGCCTAGCCCCCCCCCACCTGTTTGAGCCAGGTGAATAGGTCTGGTTTAGGGTTAGGTTAAGTTAGGTTGGCCTGGGTTGTGATTTTCCCCCACCCAAAACCCCTGGTTCCCAGTGGGGGGGCCCCCATTATCGTTGGATAGGGGAGGGGGATCTGAAAAAATAGTGAATGGCAGTAGAAAAGGTCAGATTCGCCCAAAAACAAAAAAAACAAAAAAAAAACATCAGAAAACAATTTCAACCTCCAACATCTTGGAAAAATACCAAAATTTTCCTTCACCTTTTTTTGGCAATTTTCTCTGAAAGTGTCAGCTAATAAAGAGGACTTCTCAGCCCCCCGTCTTGGTAACAGTAAGTTCGCCCACGGCAGGTGCTAAGTTACGCTAGGTTTGGTTAACTTAACATGAACTTTTAAATAAACACCTTTTAACATGTTTACCATAACTACGTAGACAAAGTAGTAACCACGGTAAATGTTACTTTTAGTCCTGTAATCTTCTAGCGACTCAAAAATATATTTTCCTATGTATTTTGCTGTGTTTTGAATGAATTTGACCTTCAAAACTGTGGCAAATCAATTTTTTTTTGAGTTATGACCCCCCCTTATTCCCAACAATAACAGGGGACCCCCGTGGGAACCGGGGATTTTAGGTGGGGGGAAACTAAAAAAACGAGTGATCTGCGGCAGTTTTGAAGGTCAAATACATTCAAAACACAGCAAAATACAGAGGAAAAACATTTTTTCATCACTAAAATACGCATCCTAACCTAATATATGAACTAGTACAACGCCAAGGTTTTTGGTTGGGGTGAAAAACACAGCGGGTCACCCGATAACGGTGATATGTCAACGTTAATTTCCTAACAAAAAATTTTGAACGCCATATCTTCTTTAATATGCATTTGCGACGGAAATATCATAGAAGGAAATTGCCTTAGAATTTCCAGTGAATTTCACACATGTTGCCAGATCTATCGTAAAGAACTATAGGGCTAAAGTTAACAAATACCGTAACCACCTTGGGCGCCTAAATAACTACCAAACGAAGCATTTGCACAAGAAATTATCATCACATTACAACTCTGTTGAAAATAAAAACCAAAACAAGTACAGGGGTAACTCATTGGCAGGTCAGTCGTCAATATTAACCCAATTAGCACATTTGCCATAACTACGAAATCACAGCGAAATTGCGGCATTTTAAATTTGTTTTCTATGAAAAATCAATGGCTGTGTGGTAGTAAATAATTACTGGCTAATATGGAGGATACCACTGCTGCTTCCCCGGTCTGAGTAACAGTAAGTCCACCCACAGCAGGTGTTAAGTTATGCTAAGTTAGGTAAACCTTTTTTTTTTAAGTTTTGCCATAACTACAACAGTGCCCATCATAAAACAGTGGAATTGCTGCATTTTTAAATTCGTTTTCTACGAAAAATCAGCGCAGGGGTAGAAATTCACATACGCCCGGTTGCCCGAGGCGACCAAAATATCATAAGTGTGACAAGGTTTTACTATTTTGCTGGTCTGGGATTGCCCGATGGGCAAGTGGGCCGATGACAATGGTAAGACACACTCAATGTGAATAAGAGCTTCATATAGAGAATACACTATTAATGCTAGCTAAACTTTGTTGCTGTAAAAAATATTGAGGTGATGCTGCATCTATCAAGAAATGTGTTTGCTCTACGATGAATTCATGCTATGGCGAAACTTGGAAGCAGAAGTTAGTTGACATTGGTACAGATGGGGCCAGCGTTATGACTGGGTGCAGAAATGGTTTAGTAGCTCGATTGAGAAGATATCTAGAGAAACTGGAGTTGGAAGGCATCCATTACACTGCTCATAAAATTGAACTCACTTACAAGGATGCAGTAAAGGATGTTCCACTAGCCAAAAAGGTTGACTTACTGCTGCTAGGCATATACCTGTTCTATGAAAAGAGTTCTCTCAACAGGAGCATGTTGAAGCATGCTCATGACATATGTCAGGTAACATTTCTGGTTCCAACACGTGTGGGTGGCTCCAGCATATGCTGCAGGCATTGGAGCATCTACTGAAGAGTTACAAGGCTATTGTACTCCACATGCAGCAGATACAGAACCCTGATGATCCCGCATACCACAAGGATTCATTCAGAAAAGCTAAGAACTACCTGCTCCTTCTAATCAGTGCTGACATAGCCCAGTACCTTCACCTCCTACTGGATGTGGTGCGGTGCCTTGGGGACCTCTCAGAGCTGTTCCAGCATGGTCAAACCAATATTTCTGCTATCGTGAATGAACTTCAGACTGCAGTTGATGTACTTAACAAATATTTGACTTGGCCAGGACCCAGCCCGAGAAGGATTATGGAAAGTGACACAACCATGTTCCAAGGAGAGAAGCTGAGTGGTAGAAGCAACACTTTCAAGAATGTAAGGTATGATATGCTGACATCACTGATTTCAAGTCTAAACAAAAGATTTATTGACATGGCCAGTACAAGTCTCCAGAACACATGGATTCTGAATTTCAAATTGTGGCCTGCAGAGTACAGTGGGAATAAAAATTTCGGGGATAGCGCTGTGCAAGCGTTGGCCCAAGCTCTTGAGAAAACACTGATGGAGGCAGAGGTGAATCCTACTTTGGCAGAGGATGAATGGACTGTGCTCAAAAGTTACAATTACAAGAGTAAGACATCACTTGTTTCAAGATTGTCTTGGCAACAAATCAACCAATCATACGGAGAAAGGTGTGCCTCATTTCTCCATCTGGTTGACCTACAGCTTTCCATTCCAGCTAGTTCGGCTGATATTGAATGTGGTTTTAGCCAGGTCAAACTCATTAAGACAGACTGGCGCAGTCGTCTCACTGATGACCACCTGACAGATCTCATGGTGGTTCAGTTGCAAACAGTGTGTGTTGGCAACTTTAATCCGGACAAAGCCATTCCCAGATTCCTAACAACTGGGGCCCGCCATGTGGATGGCTACACTCACACTGCAGGCTGCAGCACAGTGGAAGATCTGGACGACAACAATGAGTTGAACGAGGAGCATGTACAGGAAATGCTTGTTCAAGTGCAATGAAAAATCTGTGCTCCATGCAATTAATTTAGTTAATGTGATTATTCCAGTGTTCACATTGTAAATCTGTACTTCGTGTTAATAATTTAGTTAATATGTGATTATTCCAGAGTTGGTTTATGATTTAACATGGTTTCCACTAGTAAATAAATGTCACACAGTAAATAGAACTTTGTATAAACCTGGTAAGTGCCAATGTTGAATGTTTCTTGACAAATTGTTTAAGGGCTAGTAAAAATTTATAAGGACTAGTAAATTTTCAAATCTACTAGTCCTGCTGGCAACTTTGAAAAAATGGTGAATTTCTACCCCTGCAGCGGCAGTGACGTCGTAAATGTTAAAATTATCGTTTCGGTCATACAGCGATTTTTAGGATTTTAAGTTTTGGAATTAGTGGTACAGACAATTTTGGGTTAATATTGGTGACTGACCCGCAGACGAGTTACTCGTTTCACTGTTTATTTTCTTATTTTATTTTCATCAGTGAGTTCTGATATGATAATCATTTCTTGTGAAAATGCTTGTTTGGTAGATAATTATGGGCCTAGGCGCACACTACTCTGTCTTCTCGGCGGTAATGAAGCCGCACTCTAGAGAGGAGTCGTCTCTTCCCTGTGGCGGTTTCATTTTCAGCATGACGTGTGAAGGTTGTCTCAGGCCTTATATAGATGTAATTTGTAAATTTAGGGATAAAGACAAAGAAACCCCTCATTTTTTTAAAGACCAAGGCATTGTTCCTTTAAGTAGAAAGTATTGTTCACAGCAATACTACTGTTACATACAAATGAGTTTGTGTGCTAATTCAGTTGTTGATTGGAAACAATCAATCATTTCCTTGACACTGTGGCTTGCGTTTCCCGCCATCTCAATAGCAAATCACTCCGTCACCCTGCCTAAGCGCCGATGCTGCCGGATGGGTAAAATTGCACATTACAGCAACCAAAGAATCAGATTTTTTTTCCCCTTACCTAACCCCCTAGCTGGGGGGGTTGGAGTTTTTTCGAATAAATCAAATACCAATCAACAAAACCAAACCTAACAGAGCCCCCCCCCAGGACCCCCCTTTGTTCATGCCCCCACATCTTACATTAATCTTATAAATAATCAGGTTCGTTTGTAGACGCTTAAGAAGCGAAGTTGGAGGTAAGGGGCAATGCGTGGTCAGACTCCGCCAAAAGTAGAGAAGTCATGGCGAAACTTGTGACTGAGCAAATGTAATATTGAAATTTTAATATCTCGGTTATCCTTAATTTCCGATGGAAATATCATAGAAGAAAAATGTCTTAGAATTGTCTAAACATTACGAAATACATATTAATAACAGCGAATGAATAACCGGTGCAAGACTATAAATTCACCAAATGACCTGTGTCCGGGTGGGCTAATGCCACTTAAAAAAAAAAACACTAGGGTGTCTTAACGGCTTCACAGCCTAACCTAACCTAACCTCCATATTAGCCATAATATCAAGCAAGATTAACTTAAGATCCGTGACCGGACAAATAACCATTAACTTACATCTTGCATATTTAACTATACAGTTAACCTTACATATTATCAGTAAAAAAAATGTGTCGCAAGACCCATATTGAGTTCAAGTGCCTCAAGCACTAGAAGGTACACGCCTACCTGGCCCGCCATGATATTCCTATTGTACAGTTGTTTTTCACACTATTTAATCCTAGTTTCTATTATAAATTCGAGTTATACTTACTCCATCATGTTTGCGTTGTACTGCGCACAGGGCGCGTGGGCTCTAGTCCGATTATGCTATCATATTGGCGATGATAACACAGTGGGTATAATACAAGGTTCTCTTAGAGCAGACATGAGGAAACTGCCTCACACATCACTCCCGCGGCCCGCCAACTCTCTCCTCTCGGTTCATATTCCTCCGCAATAAAATCTGCAAGGTGAATTGTATTTAAAAATTATAGTATTTGACATAATTTTTTTTTATTGTTATTAAAACACTAAAAGGACTATTTATTCGGTATAACAAAAGATAAAAATATATAACCAAAGAACTAGTTTCTTTAGCGCAGTATTATCTCTGTTGTGGCGGTAGTGCATTCCGGAATGTATTGTTACTTTGGAACATTTATGAATAACAATAAATTTAATTTTTCTATAATTACTCTTATATATCAATAAGTCTAGTGTATATATGTATAATATCATAATAAATGAATTATAATTGCTATCTTTATATTTAATTCTACATTAATGTAATATAGAGATGATGAAAACATGTAATCCAAAGTAATACTCTGAAACGCACTTGCATCAGCTTGTGCAATATAGTTGATTTTGTTGATTCTAAGCAAATTAAATATTTGTCTCTTATTTTCAGAGAGCTATGTTAATGGCAAGAACATGGAGTTAATCTAATTGCGACTCAGATAATTCACAACCAATGTCATTAATTTTGTTGTAAAGTTTTGAAAGTGGAATATTTCTAATCAATTCGAGTTATTTAATCGTTTAATTATTTATAATATCGACCAAAATATTATCGCTATTTTAGATTTTGCATGATGTATATATTTAGAGAAAAAATATATAAAAATACCCAACTATAATTGATCGGAGGGAAGCTGGCCGCTCATTGGCCGGGAAACAGACGTGGGTGGGGCTTAGCTCCTCACAACAAATGATGTCATAAAATCCATAGGGTAAAAATAAAAACCTAAAAAAAGTCACAAAAAAGAAATAAAAATCTGCTGCCTTGATGAAGCGAATTCGAAGCAGATATTGAAGGAATATACGGCTGGATAAGGTGTTAGGAGGTTGTATGTGTATTGTGGGAGGGGCCCTTGTGAGTCTGTGCGAGTTTTTCTATGATTTTTTCACATGTCTGGAGACGCCAAGTTCATCAGTCTCTACTACAGCCTTGTTCACCAGGGAGCCTCTGATTTCTACAAGGAAATCATTAAAGGTAAGGATTATTTTTCATTCATTATGTGATATTTATCTAAATTCGCACGCGAAATTTGTGTCCTCCGCTAATGACAATGCGAGATCCCGCCAGTACAAAGTTTTAACAGACAAAAGATGAGAGGACGGGTACCGGGAAGCTTTCTATTGCCTCCATGATTTCCTCATTTGTTTTCTTTGTTTACATCCGTCTGTCAACCTCCAGCATTCCTCAGAATGAGCTTTCACACGGAGTTGAAAGCATGTCAACAAATTTTCATTTGAGTGCAATCTAGTGTGGGATATGCAGTACTCTCGCCCCATGGTAGTGAATTTATTGATTCATAAGGGAAGGCAGACGTTTTTTGTTAATATGGCCTTGGGGCAGAAGCCCAGCCCTGCCTCCCTCCCTCCAGCACCACTGACAACTGCTCTGCATCCCACCCACTGGCACTACTGACAACTGCCCTGCCGCCTTCCTTCTCAGTAGCACTACTTGAAACTGCTCTGCGCCTCCCTTCCTCCTTCCAGCACTACTGACAACTGGCTTCCCTACTTCCAGCATTACTGACAACTACCCTGCCTTCCTCCATCCCTCTAGTATAACTATCCTGCCTCCCTCCCAGTACTACCAATAACTGCCCTGCCTACATCCTTACAACACACTGATAACTTCCTGGCCTCCCCCCCTCCCTCCAAAACTACTGACAACTGCCCCAAATCCTCCCAGCACTGCTGATAACTGCCTAGCATACCTGCAGCACCACTGATAACTGACCTTCCACCCTTTAGCATCACTGGTAACTGACCTTCCACCCTTTAGCATCACTGGTAACTGATCATCCACCCTTCATCACCACTAACAACTGACCATCCACCCTTCATCACCACTAACAACTGACCTTCCACCCTTCATCACCACTAACAACTGACCTTCCACTCTTCAGCACCACTGACAACTGACCTTCCACCCTTCACCACTAACAACTGACCTTCCACCCTTTATCACCACTGACAACTGACCTTCCACCCTTCATCACCACTAACAACTGACCATCCACAATTCAGCACCACTGACAACTGACCTTCCACCCTTCATCACCACTAACAACTGCCCCTCCACCCCTTCAACACCACTGACAACTGACCTTCCACCCTTCATCACCACTAACAACTGACCTTCTCACCACTAACAACTGCCCTTCCACCCTTCAACACCACTGACAACTGACCTTCCACCCTTCATCACCACTAACAACTGACCTTCCACCCTTCATCACCACTAACAACTGCCCTTCCACCCTTCAACACCACTGACAACTGACCTTCCTCCTTTCAACACCACTGACCTTCGACCCTTCAACACCACTGACCTTCCACCCTTCAACACCACTGACCTTCCACCTTCAGCACCACTGACCTTCCACCCTTCAACACTATTGACCTTCCACCTTCAACACCACTGACCTTCCACCCTTCAACACCATTGACCTTCCACCCTTCAACACTATTGACCTTCCACCCTTCAACTCCATTGACCTTCCACCCTTCAACACCACTGACCTTCCACCCTTCAACACCATTGACCTTCCACCCTTCAACACCACTGACCTTCCACCCCAACACCACTGACCTTCCACCCTTCAGCACCATTGACCTTCACCCTTCAACACCACTGACCTTCCACCCTTCAACACCATTGACCTTCCACCCTTCAACACTATTGACCTTCCCCTTCAACACCATTGACCTTCCATCCTTCAACACCACTGACCTTCCATCCTTCAACACCACTGGACCTTCCCTTCAACACCATGGACCTTCCACCCTTCAACACCATTGACCTTTCACCCTTCAACACCACTGACCTTCCACCCTTCAACACCACTGACCTTCCACCCTTCAACACATTGACCATCCACCCTTCAATGCCATTGACCTTCCACCTTCAACACCATTAAACCTTCACCCTTCAGCACCACTGACAACTGACACCCTTCACTTGACCTTCCACCTTCCACCCTTCAGCACCACTGACCTTCCACCCTTCAACACCATTGACCTTCCACCCTTCAACACCATTGAACCTTCCACCTTCAACCTATTCACCTTCCACCCTTCAACACCATTGACCTTCCACTCTTCAACACCACTGACCTTCCACCCTTCAACACCATTGACCTTCCACCCTTCAACACCATTGACCTTCCACCTTCAGCACCATTGAACCTTCCACCCTTCAGCACCACTGACCTTCCACCCTTCAACACCATTGACCTTCCACCCTTCAACACCATTGACCTTCCACCCTTCAACACCATTGAACCTTCACCCTTCAACACCCCTTCAACACCATTGACCTTCCACCCTTCAACACCATTGACCTTCCACCCTTCAACACCATTGACCCTCCACCCTTCCACCATTGACCTTCCACCCTTCAACACCATTGACCTTCCACCTTCAACACCATTGACCTTCCACCCTTCAACACCATTGACCTTCCACCCTTCAACACCATTGACCTTCCACCCTTCAACACCATTGACCTTCCACCCTTCAACACCATTGACCTTCCACCCTTCAACACCATTGACCTTCCCTTCCTTCTTCAACACCACCTTGACCTTCACCCTTCAACACCATGGACCTTCCAACACCATTGACCTTCACCCCTTCAACACCATTGACCTTCCACCTTCACACCATTGACCTTCCACCCTTCAACACCATTGGCCTTCCACCCTTCTTGACTTTCCACCCTTCAACACCATTGACCTTCCACCCTTCAACACCATGGACCTTCCACCTTCAACACCATTGAACCTTCCACCTTTCCACCTTCAACACCATTGACCTTCCACCCTTCAACACCATTGACCTTCCACCCTTCAACACCATTGACCTTTCCACCATTCCTTCCACCCTTCAACACCATTGACCTTCCACCCTTCAACACCATGGACCTTCCCTTCAACACTGACCTTCCACCCCTTCAACACCATTGACCTTCCACCCTTCAACACCATTGACCTTCCACTCTTCAACACCATTGACCTTCCACCCTTCAACACCATTGAACCTTCCACCCTTCAACACCATTGACCTTCCACCCTTCAACACCGCTCATAGTCACTGTGTATTACTTAGCTATTTTTGGGACTTGAGTACACACCACATTCCTTTTAACATGACTCATCTAGCAAAATTTTCATGCAAATGACCAGATTTGGTAATTTAATGGATGTTATAACTGTTAAAAGAATTTTAAATACTATACTGTTCCATGATGAGTGTTAAATACAATCACCATGTATGAATAAGCTTCATTTAGTCACTTTATACACTCAAAGCAGGTAAGCTAATGATGCTACTGCAGGTATGTACAGCATAGCTATAGTAATGTGATCCAAGGCAGTTGAAAATATAATTAAGTGCCTTTAATATTTGTGGCAATTCTTTACATCTTTTGTGCACCTGAATCAACAACTTTAGGACATTTCACCATAGAATATAAATATTTTCTTACCCATGAAAATGCTAAAAAGTGAATGAGAAAAACATTTTCCATAATATAATTTAACAGTTATTCTCCTCCTGAAAACAATTGTATGGCTATGACATCTGAGCTCCTTCGATGTCATATTGGTTTGGTCCAGAGTGATGCCTCCAAGAGGCTACTTATGTTCCTTTAACAATATTTTTTTTTTTTTTACAGAAAGTGAAAACAGAATATTTAGCATATAAGATGATAACTATATTATTTTAGGTTAGGCTGTGAATATTTTCTTGTCTTGCCTAATTGGGTGGTAGGTAATGAGCAGCTGTGGCCAGCAGAGCCGGATTAACAGCATTGGGGACCCCAAGGCACTAAGACTCTAGGGGCCCCCTATATATTTGAAGATAAGTGAGCAATTCCAAAGAATGAAGCAACTTCCACACACACATTCCCTGCTGT